AAATCATATCACGCTTGATGTAATGTTGATTATTAAAAACATAGAGACTCAATATGTTTAACGTAAAAATATTTTTAAACTACCCTGATCTACTATGCCTTAATAAAATAGAAATTAAATACAATCCTGTGAGAATAAAAAGGATTTAAGTTTGTTTTTGACTGTAGACGGAGTTAGAACTGACCTCAGGTCAGCAGCCAGCTTGTTCCAAACCAGAACCATAAGCAAACTGGGATTTAATTCTGGGAATAGTGGTGATTTGGCGATGCATAGTACTTGAACAGGAAAAGAATTCAAGGTTACCTTCGTAACAGTTCTTTTATACGGGTACGTTCCCCTTCTTGCAGTTTTGTTTCATGAAAAATATAGAAGGGACTCACCGCCAGGGCAACATTTTCCTGCCTGATCTGCATGTGACTGACGAGCCCCGTGTCGTAACCTTGATCACACTTTCACAATGAAGTTAAATAGATTTTCTTAAGCAAGCCCGTGATGCACTCGCTGCAGTGGCACTGCATGACTTTTGAACTCTGACCTGTAATCTTTTAATCCGCTTTGCAATATCGTTACACAACAATTAGCTTTCATGGGTGATAACGTAAAATCAATCTTATCTTATGCCTAACAAACTGATTGTGTTTTATATGACTCATTTTGAAGATTATTGAGCCAGCAGTGAACTAGCAGCTAAACAGAAAAACAAAATCGGAACATTGTCACGTTTGTGGCTAACTTCCCCACCTCAGAGGGGAACTTGAGGTCAGGCTTAAAATAAGTACCTCTCTAGAGTTCACTGAAAGAACAACACTCTTGCCATGTCTATGCAGACTCAAGCAGTAAACACACATCTTTATACACGTAAACTGGGTCAGGGTGTTTGGATTGTTCAGCAGCAAAACTCTCAGAACGCAGTACCACCCTGTAAAGGCAACTATGACCAAAGTTAACACAACATTTTAGCTTATGTGTTGTGTGCACCATGCTGTCTGTGGCTAAGTTATTGGCTGTTCAAAGATATAAATGAGCAAGTCAAAAAGGTCATTTCTTTATCAACAATTTGCTTCTTTTTTTTAAATCAACTAACACTTCCTGTACTCTAGATTATTCAAAAAACAGACTCTTTAAGAAAATCCCAGAGGAAACAAGCTCTTCAAACCTCTGGGATTAGTGGGAAAGAAAATATAACTGCTGAATTCAAAAAGAACAATTTGCTCTCTTCTACATGACAGCTGATGTGAGAGCTTCCAGCTGTGTCTGCTGCCGTAAGCCAAAAAGGAGAGATTATGACGCCTGGGAACCAGGAGGGGAATTCATATTACAGACATGAAGACATCTCTCTCAGGCGCTGTTGAAGGAAGTAATGTCACACAGTGCAGCCTCTCTGGCAGCAATGTATTTGCCACTTAAGACACACAATGACTGCTGACCACAAATATGCTGTACCCAGCTTGAGTGGACATGTAACCCACACAGTAATTCCCACCACATACATTAGACATCCAGAGAAGCAGGATATATTTCTTAAAGGAAACATATGTCTTAAGGTCACCTTCCATTAACAATTTGTTTTGCTCATTGCTACTTAAAGTTTGACTTGCATGACGCATAAAGATGCATATGCAGAGTTCAACATGTCTGTTAACTCTCAACACTCAAGCGATCAAGGTGCCCCATTGTCCAAGCAATCCTGAAAGCACTGAGTTCGTCCACAGTCTGCTCTAGTTGTTCATTGTCAAATCATGTTTTTCACCATATCTCTGAATCTCGAGCTAGGTTTGCTAGCCATTGTTCTCTGAAAAACATTACAATGTGGTAATTAGAAGTGAAAAATGATGATAAAATCAAGCATGTTCATATTTTCACTTTGCATTCTTTTTTTGCCAAAACAACCAGTTTCATAAAGCCTTGCTTTTTAAACTGTTTATCCATGTTGGGGTCAGGGCCTATCACAAATACAAGCGTTGGTGATAGACAAGCCAACAGTGTAACACAGAGCTAACACAGAGAAACCATGCAAGAAAACGTTTACTCATCACTGATGAGTTTAAAATTAACCTGTCTTTGGACTGTAGTAGGAATCAAGGGTAATCCATGCAGGCACAAGGAGAACATGCAAAGGTGACACAGAGAGGCCTCAGCCAGCTGATTGTTCCATGCTGTGAGGTGACAGTACATAACAAACCATGTTTTAGCAGCTAAAGAGTCAGAGTCACATATTTCTGTCAGAAATTAGCAGAGACCAAAACAGAGTAATGCATTTTATCATATGGATCGCCATGACCCTGAAACCTCCCTTAGTTATACTGCAATAGGCCCAGGCTGCTGGGTTTCTTGTGTCTCTTTTGTCCCATCTTCCTCTATTTCTTCTCACCGCCCCTTCCTGATCCTGGTTCTATCTTCCTGTTAAAAAGCAGCTTTGCCTTTCGCCAGGTGCTTGCTCATAGGGCGCTATTGCTAACTGTTGTATGGCCTTTACCTTACAATATAAAGCTTAGGGTGACAGTAGCTTTGATGCTATATAAATGAAACTGAAATTTTATTGAAATTACATATTTCAAAGATAGATGTATACACTAGTTGCAGGCCAGTAGCATAGCTTGAAAACTTTCTAATGTGTGGCTGTTGTAGTGACAGCCTGCCACCAGGTGGACAGGAAATCATGCATTAAATATTGAGTATTCACAGACTGCTCAACAGAAGAAGTGCTGGACCTGATATTTACATTTTTGACAAGGTTTTTTGAATTGGTTGTTGCAAGAAAACAGACACACCAGACATCTGTTACATGAAATGTATTGAGAACAGTCTGATCTCAAGTTTAGGATAAACCCTGCAGTGGCTTCTGAACTCATGCAAAAGCAGAATTTTGATTTTTAACAGCTGATAAAATAGATAAATAAGCGCTAGCTTCTTCTTGGCTTCACTTGCAATAATATTATTGTATCATAGAGGGGCCTTTGAAGCGCATTCCTTTCGGTGCGGCGCAGACACAGGGGAAAAGGAAAATGAGAGGTTTAGCAAGCAACAGGAAAACCGCTATGAGAACACATTCCAGGCCGAGCAGACCCTGTGCGGTGGGACAATAAGGGGTGGGACAGAACTGTATACTATTTAAAAATCTGCAATCTTGGCTTTAAATCAGGAACGCAGACAAGACCCAAAGTGTTCTTACTTAGTGAGTAAGTAGAGGACTCGGTGGGGAACAGCCAGAAAGCGGAAGGAGTGTGGTTCCAAAGAGACGGCGGTTTGTGTTCTCGGTTTATCAGCGCAGATTTGGACCGAGATGAGATAGTTCCAGCTTGTCCCCCTGTCAGGACTCAACCAGCTGCCTTTTCATTTTCACTTCTGCCACGCTGCCACCCTTCTTCCTTTTTTTCTTTTAAGAAGTGTGTGTATTTTTAACTTTAATTCGAGGGGGCCGTGAAGGGGTGAAGGAAAAAAAGGACGTACTTTTCTCAAAAACGTCGTTTAGTCGTCATCGAAGCGGCGAAGGATGAGAGTTGTGAGGGGAAACATCTGCATTAGGGCCGTGTAGACGGAGGGAAAATGAAGCTGTTGGCATTGTAAAGCTTTCTTCTACCTATCGTTGACAAAACTTGGACCAATGAGAAGCGCTTGGAGCCGTCTTTGATATGGGAGACGTGAGGCGTTTACATCTGTCAAGTTAAAAAACACAAAAACAACACGAGCAGAAACAGGTAATGGTCGTGGGTTTGTTTTCTTTTTATTCTGTTCACTGAATTATTATTAGGAATCTTGTAGCACCGTAACACTGTAACACCGGATTCAAAGTTACCTTTTGACAGCGGCTATACATCAATCCACGTGTTTCCAGATGTGAACAGGTGTCAAATGGCCTGATCTTCAAGTCAGAATTAACAGCATTTACAGATTTTAACTGCGGTATTTGTTTCTTATTACTCGCCGTGTTTTTGTTATCATAGCTAATCTGTTATATTGTGGCACAGGACACGGTGAACTACCTTTATTTATTTCTATGTAACTGAGCACTACGCACAATTTAAATAGCCCACAGCAAAAATTGTGGTCTAGTAGACTTGATTTTAGAGGTGCTTACTTTTCCCTGCCCTGCGTCTGTTACGTGTCAAATGTGGCTTGTTGTGGTATTTTATTATCTGTGTCAGTCCTAAAACTCAAGTAGTGGTCACTCTGTAGTTGTTTCATACTTTAAACATAAGGATTTAACATATCCTATGTTTTATATCTTATAAATATGAGAAACATTCATCTCATTCGTAGGCCCATTTGAAGTAGTTAAACAGCATTCACTGACCACCTACCTCATTTAATTGTATCACTGTATTGCAAGTTTATTTCAATGTAACATTGATAGAAAACATTGGTCCACTTCCTAAACTTAAAAAGAAAGAGTGCTTTACTGATAGTATCTTTGCACACTTACTAAAAACACAGATTTTCTTCCATACACAGGGTTTATTCTTCACGCATGGCTATTTTTACCCAAATAAGGATGTGGGTACTTCCTGAACTACTGGCATATGCCTTGTGACCTTTTTTTTCTAACAAATCTTTTAAGGTGAAAAGTCCATTCATTTTGAAGTGTGCAGAATGTGACATTTGCTTTCAAAGATTTACACACAT